CTGTGTTCTTTGAATGGAGGAACGAAGGACAGAATTAATGAAAAGATGGATGGATGGGAGGGTGGGCATGTGAGTGTGTGTGTAGATGGAGTACATGGATGGATGTGGTGGATAGAGGAGTGGACAGTTCACTGGGGTGGGGGAGATGAACAAGTAAGCAAATGCACATTCTTTAGGTCTCAACAGAGTACCTGCCCATACCCCACAAGATGAAAGCCAGGCTGTGCTCACCATTGCTTCGATTTCAGTCCTGTTATTCAAACCTGGAGAGCTTCCCTGGACAGTCTTTTGTCCACACAGGACAAAAAGTGGCTCCAACTGAGGAGTGCCTATAGCAGAACTGACTCTGCCTGAGGGCAGGGGAGGAGAAGACCCACTCTCCTCCTCTCTAAGACCCTCTCTTTCCATCGGTATCTCTCCAACCAGGCCTCCTGCCATCTGAATGTGCTCACACACCTCTGATCAGTCTAGCTGTCTCTGGGATGAGACCCCCACCCTACCACCTCAAGTGTCTGTCTGTGGAATCCCCTTTCCACGAAGGATTTCAGGGCCTGCCCTGGGTACAGAGGTCTACCTTGTTTGTCTGAGGCCAAACCCTTAACACAAGCAGCAATCAGAGAAAAGGTGAGGGTATATTAAGGGCCTGCCTCACAATTTGACATGTTCATCAACTCCCTCACAAGTATTCACCCCTAATAGGCAGCTGGCACTCACTCAGACTTTGGTGTTTACCTGGCAAGGATGCAACCATAGTGGTTCTCTTCACCTGCAGCCAGCTCCTTTCCATCCTAGCCCAGACCCCATGCTTCTCTATCAGCCTCTCTCCTTTCTGTGTAACTCTCCAATCCCTCCTCTCTCTAGGTCCTTCATGTGGCAGACATGTGCAGGGCAGCACTTCTGGACCCTCAGGATCACTCTGCTCCACTCAACAAGGAGGTCCAGGATGCAGATGGCTACGCCAGAGAGACTCATAAAATATTGCACAGCATTTGTTCCGTGGGCACAGAGAAAACAGACTTTCTATTAATAAAAACTAACTGCCCCTTTATTTGTAGCAACAACAAGGGCTTTGTTACATGCTCTGAATGTAACATCACATTTTAACTTTGTTTGGAATTATCTTTCAAAGAGTTCAAGATTTTTCTACAGCTGACGCAAATCACTCGCATTCACTAAGAATAGAAGCAACCTGTGAGAGTTTAGCAATACAAAGTCGCCGTCAAAACATGTTTGAGTCTTCTTTTTCACTTTCCTGTTAAGAAAAACATCTTGTACTTTCTAAGACTCTGATTTTTCTCTTCTGTTTCCCTTTTGTGATTTTCCAAACCAGATTTGGAAAAATCCATAAAAGGATGTATCTTCGCAATGATCAAATAAATCACTTGTTCCCAGGAAGCATCGCTCTTTCCGGAAGGTCAAGGCTGATTTCAGGCAACTGGCAGAGACCAGCCTCAGGGCTGGACATTGATGGTATGTTCAAAAAAATTACTCAGGGGAAGAAATAGATGGTTCCTTAAAAATCCCTGCTAGAGGGTATCCCTTCCTTGGGTGGCAATAAAACCCATTGCAGATGGCCTTGGTGTCAGTAAATTCCAGTGTATATCCGCAGAGTGGGCCCACCATGCCATACCACATTGGGTCTGTCCACACTCCCTCAGGCCTAGTCTGAGCCCCACCCCCACCCCCATCCCACACCTGTGGATAGTGCTCAGCTGAGCAATCAGAGCTAAGAACTGAGTCCCACCTGGTTCAAACACCTCCTATTCCTCCAGGTAGGAGGGCCCAGCAAGCCAGGATGGGAGGAGATGGGAAGGTTGTGGGTACAGGAAGGGAAGCACAGGAGAGCCTGAGAAGAATGGAGACACCGAGGAGGGCTTGTAGTCTGACCCCCCCCAGCAGAGCAAATCCTGGGGGATTGTTCACCTCACATGATGGTCCAGAAGTCCCCAGCACTTAACACTTGGCGACCAGGCACCGTGAAGAGAGAAGCCTCTTGGTGAAATGTGGCTACCGTGAAGCTGTGACCAGGGCCCCCCTGAAGATCCTGCGTCTTTGAGTCATAGCTGAAGCAGCAGAGGATGCAGGTGATGGCCACAGTGACCACGAACAGTACTGCCACCATCCCAATCACCGCCGTTTCCATGATCTGTGTCCTTCTACAGCACCTGACGGCAGAGCAACCTGGGTGGTTTCAGAACCTTAGCTCTCCATTCCAAAATGAGGATGGGGGTTCTTGAGCCCTTGTGCTGGATAGCTGCCTCTCCTTGGTCTTCTCAGATGCTTGAACCCCTTTAGGCCATCAGTCACCCCTGCCAGGTCCTCCAGCTGGGATCTCAGATGAGCTCTGCACTATTTTCTCCAGAGCTACCACACTGGCCGCTTCTAGAAGAAGCACTGTCACGGAAGATGTAAACACAAGGCTCCCTGGACAAGGAGGGGGTGGGGAGAAGGATACAGAAGACGTTGCTCAGGAGAAGCCAGCCAGCTCTGGCCCTCTGTGACAACTCCAGACAAGAGCGATAGAGCATACTCTTCACATCCCTCCTTGGATGAGGGGGAAGAGCCTGGCTCCTCCCCTAGAGGGACCTTGGGCCTGTCCTAGAATCTAGCTCGGTGCTGTTTCCCCCCCAGGCCCTGGTCTGATGCTGGGGGGCAGGGACGAAGGTTCAGGGAAAACAAGAGATAGCTCTGGTGGGGGAGTGTTCACAGGTCACCATGTGTGCCAAGGGGGCTTATGTAGGGACTGAGGGGAGGGAGAGCATGTTACATCTGGCCTCCTTTTTCTAACATGGGGTGGAGCCTGTGGCTTACAATGGGACAAGCTTGTTCTGGCCCTTTCAATAACAAGCGATGGGGTTTTCTCACCCAGAAAGCCCAGAAGAACCAATCTAGCCCTATTTCTTAGCAGCCTAGTCCCACCCCTCACACTAGAGGCTGTGAAGACTTACCCTGTAGTCCCTGAGGACCAGCCCCAGCTGTCCCTGATACTGTGGCTTCTGCTGCTCTGATGGCTACTGTAGGGGGCCTGATATTCCTCCCTGGATGCGGCAGCTGGTCCTGCCTAGAACTTGGCTCCCACACATCTGAGCAGCTGTGAGTACTTCCTGAATCCCTTCCTCCCATTGTGATGGAGGACCCATCACCCTCCCCACCCACGCACATGCCCCATTTCCACTCTGCCCTTTCTGGAGAGGGTTCAGGGATGTGAGCCAAGACAGGTCCCTGGAAAATTCTGCCAGAAGGATCGCCACCTTCATTTTCCAACCTGACTGCCCCTTCCAACCCATACTTCCATAGAGGAGTCTGGGTGAGACTTAGTCATTGTAGGTGTCCAGCTCATGCTCATGGCTTCCTTGCAGCTCAAGATGGTGCTGCCATTATATGGCCCCTCCCTACACTAGGTACTTTTTAGAGTAATTACCCAATCCTATCATTTTGTTGCTCAGGATGCCAAGGCCCAGAGATGGCAGAAGGCTGTCTGGCCCCAATCACACAGCCTGGGGCCTTTCCAACTTCTCCAAGCCCCAGAAGAACTTTAGGAAACTAGCTACACACAGAGTGAGAGAATGCTCAGTCAGCAAATCTCACACTTTTCCCTTTTCTACCCAGCTTGGACAGTCTGGGATCTGGGCTCCTCTTTCCCACAGGCACAGAAAGCCAGAGATGCCTGGGGCAACCAGAAAGGGAGAGAAGCTGACTTGATGTAAGGATTACAGTGCCTACAGTGTCTGATTGAGTCTCCCACAGGGCCTTGTGAATCTAGGTGATAGAGGCTGGTTTTTGAGCATGATTGTTTCTCTTTGCTTGCTCTTTGTGGGCACACGTGACACCTGCTGCTGCTGCTGCTGCACATTTTTAATTGGGAATTCATGACCACTGGCCAGCCTTATACAGGCTCCCTTTTTCACCTCTGAGACTAGAAGAAAACGTTTAGCCTTCTTTGATTGATCTGTAAAACTAGGGGCAGGGCCTGCAGTAGGCAGACTGGAGGTGGCTGGTATGGGAAAAGGAAAGGTGGATTTGAAGGACACTGCAGTGAAAACTCAATGATCTTTGGGTCCTTCAATCCACTGTCTCATCACAGCCACCTAGTGTGGCTGTCCATTTGAATCCTCCATCCCCCACTTCACTCTTGCCCCAGTCCTCAAAAAAGAATCCACTAGGAAATGGAAAGGAAAGAGGACATTCTATCCCTGTGAGTCACCAGGCCCCTGGCTTGCTGGCTTGTTCCCCAGCCCCTCCCTGCTGAGCCTTGCCTGGTCTCTGCTTCCTCCTGCTCCCAAGGACAGGGTGAAGGCCTCAGAACATTTCCTTCCTCTCTGTGAACTCTGCTAGCTCTTCAGAGAGCATCTGGGAGCAATCTCTCCTGGCTTTGGCAGGAAGAAGCCCCTATTACCCATTCTGTTTTAGTAGGCAAAAAAGTTGAGACCCAGAGGATGGATACGCACTCCTAAGGCCATCCTGCACCCCAGCAGTTAAATAAACCCCTCTCCTTCTTTTCTTTCTAGACCACGTGATCACGGGCAGGCATCTGGGAGCAGGCTGGCTGGATAAGAAACAGACCCACTTATCAAAGAAACACTAAATTCAGTGCAGCCCATGGGTAGGCCTTTTGAGAGTCCCAGAATTTAGTTTAGCCTGGATTGAGACTAGAAACTGCACTGGAGGTAGAGCCCAGGAGACTAACCTCCAAGTGGCCCCAACCCTACCTCTCTGTGGTCCTGGACTGTTTTGTCTCCCTCCCCCTGCTCCACAGCCCTGCTGGCGGAAAGCTTTTTTTTTTTTGCAAACTGACTCCTTGCACGAATATGGGTGGGGGTGGGGGATGAGAGACTGACTCAGGCAGGGCCCTCCACTTTCCCAATCATAGTCAGCTGGGAACTCCAGCTATAACTGGGAGTCATAGGCCACAGGCCCAACCTTAGGGGTTCCACCATGTCAGATCTGGCCACTCCCAACAATATGCCAAGTAAAGAGACAAATAGTGGTGGAAAGGCAGAGAAAGATTTATTATACAGCACAGACATGTTGCAGGACGAGGCAAAGTAAGCATCTCAGCCTGTACAGACATGAGCCTTAGGTTTCTATAGGGGAAGAACCGGGGCCAGATGTATACATAGTTATTCAACACAGTTACAGGTATAGTCCAATGGTCAGGTGGCCAGAGATACAGTCTGATTGACCATGGTCACAGGATTGGTCAGGTGGAGGCTGGGGAGTCGATTCTACTCTTGTCACATGAGAAGGAAGGTGGTTTACAAGAGAAAATGACTGGGCAAAGACAAATACAAAATGGAGTCAGGGATTCCAAGTTTTTATCCTGCTTTTCCTTACCCTTTTGACATCTGCAGGCCCAAGTGATAAGTCAGTGCTTTTGGCAAAAGCTATTTCCAAGTACCCATTAGACAGGTTGCCCTCCCAGAAGGGCATCACAGAGCAATGCAGACAGATCTGGTGGCTCCTGCTCTCCCACCCTGCTGAATTCAGGAGGCTTTCCACAAAACCTTCATGATGTCTTGGATGTCTTATAGCAAAGCACCAGTGATTAGACTGTGCAGCCCCATTCTGCCTTCTCTATACCAGAAAGGCATTCTCCAAGTCTCTCACCTTCCCACCTGCCAGAGGCCTGCAGCCACATGGTGAAAGTCAGATGAGGCTGGGCATTGATGGCTCACACCTATCATTCTTGCTACCCAGGAGGCTGAGATTTGAGAATCAAGTTTGAAAGCCAGCCCAGATAGACAAATATGAGGGAAATGAACTAACCTGCAAAAAGCTGGAAGTAGAAATGTGGCTTAAATGGTAGAGTGCTAGTTATGAGCAGAGTATGTAGCTCTGAGTTCAAGCCCCAGAATTGGCACACAGAAAGAAGGAAGATAAAGAGAGAAAGACAGAGAAAGAGGAAGGAAGGGAGGAAGGAAGGAAGGAAGGGAGGAAGGAAGGAAGGAAGGGAGGAAGGAAGGAAGGAAGGGAGGAAGGAAGGAAGGAAGGGAGGAAGGAAGGAAATGAACCATTCATATTCACCTCTGTGCTGGCTCTGCCAGACATGCTTGTTATCTATGGAGTCACCAAGAGTTATAGTCACAAGACAGGATGTCCAGGCAACCCTGTTCCCCACTTCTGAACCCTACAGTGTTCACAGGGTCACCCCAGGTGGTCTCAGTTCTCTGCTTTGTAGTAGGGTAGTATAGTCTACAAATGATCAGTCTGACCAGGGCCCAATATCCATCATTCTCCCCAGAAACACACTTATCTCCACAAACTCCATCGGGGTTCACTTGTCTGAGTGATGGATAGCAGGCAGAACAGGGGCAGCCATCATCCACAGGTATCAGCGGCGGGCTCCATGAGCATGGTGATGGTGATGGTGATGGTGATGTTGGTGATGGTGGAGGAGATTGGGATGCTGCAGGTGGGGCTGGTGGTGATGGAGGTCTGCTCTAGGCACCCGAGGCACATGACACAGGTGATAGGGATAATGAAAGGTTCTTAGGGGACCCCGGCCCTGAAAGAACCGAGGCTGGGCTTGCCGGACTTGGTTTCTCCCTGTGACTGGGCGATTCCTCTCCACGTCATGGTCCCGTGGTCCATGGAAAAGACAGGTAGCCAGCAGCAGCAGCAGCAGCAGTACAGCCACTGCAGCACAGGTGATCCAGCCCGTGAGTGTCATGTTCCATGGGAGGCCTAGCATCTGGAAGCTGGACAGTCCCTCTTGTTCAGCGGCTCCAAGCTGCTTCCTTCCTTTCTGCAGCCTCTTGCTCAGTCCTCAGCCACAGAACTTGGTCGTCACAGCAATTGCTGGTTGGAGATCAGCCAGGAAATATGGGTGAGGCCTGTTTGGATGGGAGCTGCCTGCCAAGGGCAAGGTCTGAAAGCTGTTAACTTTGAGAAGGCCAGGCAAGGAAGTTGGATGGAAACAAAGAAGCTGTCTGAATCAGTGTCCTTGAGGGGACAGGCCTAAGACTAGGGGTAAGAGGTCAAGAGCCATTCTACTCTTTTTTCTTTTCTTTTCTTTTGATTTTTTTGCTAGTCTTAGGGCTTGAACTCAGGGCCTGGGCCCTGTTCCTGAGCCTCTTTGTGCTCAAGGTTAGTACTCTACCACTTGGGCCACCGTGTCACTTTGGGCTTTTTCTGAGTAGCTTATTGGTCAGAGTCTCACAGACTTTCTTGCCCAGGCTGGCTTTGAACTCAGAACTCAGCCTCCTGAGTAGCTAGGAATACAGTGTGAGTCACTGGTGCCCAGTCTATTCTACTCTTAGCACCTAGGTAACAGGAGCCATTTCTTCTCTGAACTTCATGTCCCCTTTTAGACAGGGTACCCACAGAGACAAAGAACATGGGCTTTGGAACTGCTCTATGATGTGCATGAATTACTTAACCTCTCTTAAGCCTCCATTACTTAAGCCTCCATTTCTTCATCTGTAAAAGGAATATTGGTAGTACCTGTCTTATAGAGCTTTATGAGTACCAAAGAAGGTACAATAAATAATTTAAGCTGGGTACTGGTGGCTTAGAGAGGCTAAAATCTAAGGATTGCAGTTAGAAGCTAGCCCAGGCAGAAGAGTCCTCGAGACACTGATTTCCAGTAAACTACCAGAAAACCAGAAGAGCAGCTGTTGCTCAAATTGGTAGAGTACTAGCCTTGAGCTAGTGGACAGCACCCAGGCCCTAAGTTCAAGCCCCAAGACTGACCAATAAATAAACAAGTAAATAAATAATTTAAACAGGTCCTGACACATTTGCTTTTGATGGTATCACAATGGAATTTGGGTTAAAGTATTTAGAAGACTATCATTCAAGAGTTGTGCCCTGTCTCACTTTTATATGGGAATTGGATCAGCAAGATATAAAGAAGCCACACTTTGACAGGTTGAATCTGGAGTCTTTATCAGACTCATGTCCCAAAGAAACTGCAGCCTCAAATGCAGTTACTACAAAGCTATGAAGACAAAAGTCACATGACTGGTATAAAGAACTAAACCTACTAAAAGTGTGTTTGCTGAAGTAAAGCAAGCTAGGTGGAACAATCCAGGATTTGGGGTAAGAATTCCCTGGAGCAAGACTTTCCAGGAGCTGAACAACCTGACACATCTACAACTCAAAGAATGACCTATTTCATCTCTATAGAGTTTTTGGAACTGGGTGAAAAGTCCTCATCATCTACGAAGACAACTAGATGGTTGGTGAGGACAAGATGACATTACTTAGACCCTGTTCCATATTTCACTATCACCAGCAAAGTCCTCTGGGGTTAAAGGATAGTGTAAGGTCTGCTCCTGGATGGCCAGCAGACTCCACCCTTCTCGCAGCAAAGTCTCCACCCAGTACCTGCGTTACCTAGGCTACTGGCACACCTGGAAGAGGTCACATCTGCATCCGCTGAGGTCACATCTGAATTTGATGTGGCCACACCTTTCTCCACCCATACCCTAGATAAGGCCTAGCCCAGGCCCAGACACTCTCTCGCTGCTCTTTTCTAGCTCTCTCTATCTCTCTCTGTTCTTTTCTAGCTCTCTGCTCTCAGCTCTCTCTCTGCTCTCTTGCTGCTCTTTTCTAGCTCTCTCTGTTTTCTCCCTGCTCTAGCTCTTTCCTGTCTTTCCCAGCTCTCTCTCATTCCCAGGCCTTTCCCAGCCATGTGGAGTGCCAACCTTGCCTGGTCCCAGCAGGTCTACTGAATAAACCTACCCCTTACCTGAATACCACCTCTCTCTCTTTCCTAGGCCTTTCCCAGCCGCGTGGAGTGCCAACCTTGCCTGGTCCCAGCAGGTCTAATGAATAAACCTACCCCTTACCTGAATACCACGTGTGTGGTGCTGTTCTTACTCGGCTACCTTCTTTTTAAAAACCTAACAGATAGGTTCTGCCAAGTAAGTGGTTCGAAGGTCAAGTTGCTCCAGGATCTCAGAGAGATTGATGGCAGCCTCTCTCATTCAGGAAAGCTGTCCCTTTTCTGCAGGGTCTAGAAAGCTAGAAGGTCAGGGATTAGCCCTCAGTTACTAAGAGGCAGGAAGGAGGCAGCTGAGCTCAGAGGCCAGAGCCCAGTTCAGCCTCCAGGCTCCCAGGCCAACAAGAGTCTCAAAGGGCCATGAACAGCAGACACTTTGCTCTGTCCCGGTTTCCCTGTGATATAAAGCTACTGGGTCTAGGTAACATATTATTCTTACAGCCATCCTGGTGTCTTGCTGAGTGGCGGGGGCTTTCCACTCAGCTTCAAAAGGCTTAAGAGGTGAAAGAGGCCATTCTTTGAATTGCAGATGTCATGCTGTTTAGCTCCAGGAAAGCTTTGCTCGCCCTTGATTATTTCCCTAAATGGTCTACATTGCTAGCCTCTGAGTTTCCCCTACGTAGTCTGCTTCAGCTGGGCTTGGGTCTCCACCCCAAACCTGTGGTTTTTGTCTTTAAAAGCCTTTGTATAAGCTACATTCTGGGTTGTGGGTCTTTGAGACAGGAGTCTACCTGCAGTTGCAGGTTTTTAAAATAAAGACTCCCAAGTCAACCTCTCAAGATGTGGCTTCTCTGTTTCTTGCGATTGAATTCTCAGCCACCATGCCATTCCTGCCTGGTGGAGGAATTAGGCAGACTCTCTTCCACTCCTAAATCCTCTGTTACCCATCAAGCTCTTGTCCAGTCCTATTCACAGATGGAGAAATCAGTGCTCCTTGTCTCCCTGGGCACCCTTCTTGCTGCTGCTGGCTTGTTGGTGGAAATGTTGCTGAAAGGAGACCTCCATGCCTGGTTCAGGCAGAAGAGAGTTTGTGTGGGAGAGCCATACCACCAGCTCATGGTAGAGAGAGATTATATAAGGGAGGAGGAGGAGGAGGTGTGACTGCAGCTGAAGCGGATGTGGCCTCAAAGCCTGGCGTCCTTTGCTGATTGATAGTCACGTGATAGCTAGTCACAGGTGATTACCAGCTGCTTTCTGGCAGGTGATTTCTGGTAAGGCTACCTGCTGTCTTTCACGAAGGAGGGAAGGGGCTGTTCTCCCAGGCAGACCTAACCATTGGGCCATGCCCAGCGCTCTTGTTCAAATGCAGCAGGGCCTCCCCAAAGCACCAGCTCTGTCTCTGGATTCCACAAAGGTCCTGCAGGCTGAGTCCCCAGGGCCTTCATCCAGGATCCTCCTGGCAAATGTCCATCTTCCTGCCACCCAGAGGAGGGTTTGCTGAAGCTACAAGACTGGCTCTCTGCTGCAATTTGGCATGACCTTGGCAGAGCCCTTCCCTTCCCCACAGACTGTTCCCTTTTCTGTAAAGGTCCCAGAGTAGAGATGACCTCCAGAGACACCTTCCCCTCTGACCTCAGGCTAAGCCACTTTCTCTTAAGAAGTCCTCACGGGCTCAAAAGGCTACACATTTCCTTCTGATAAATTGGACTCAGGGGACAGGTCTAGTGAGTCCTGGGGCTTCTCTGGCCCTTGGGAGAAGCCACTTGAACTTTTAATGATGCTGCAGTAAAGAACTTCTGCAGACGTCTGGGGCCCTGAGAGCCAAATGAACTTTCCTATGGGGGAATTAAGGAGGAATCTGCTGGGAGCAGGGGTGGGGGGCGGGGTATACTTTAGATTGGGTGTTTTCCTTTTCTGAACTACTACTTCAGGGAGCCTCCACCGCACAGCAGGCAAAGCCAGCCCTAGTCTCCATAACTGAAGAGCTTTAGTAAGCACCACAGGCACTGGAAATCACCCAGCCCAACCCCAAGGAGAGATATGAAAATTAAGGCCAGAGAAGGGAAGGGATTTGTTGGAGTCCTCAGCTTTTGTAGGCTAGTGTGGCACCATCATTGTCATGAGGGGCTGTCCATGCCTAATGTATATATGTGGAGAAGCCTGAAGGGGCCGGGATTAAGGAGGATCCCTCCACCTCTATCATCTGGACAGAGATAGGACCCCAAGGTATGCGTTTTTGAGATGCTCTAAGCTCTTAGGGATGGCAGGCCATGGTCTCCAGTGAAGTGACTAGTAATTTCTAATGTGGAATAGTATTTTCCCTTTAATTATTTGGACATTTTAATGATAATTTTGAATGAAGAATAATTAAATGGAGGTCTGGTTGCATATGAAGGATTGCAGGACTGTTGGCTATGTTTTAAGTAGTTCAGAAAAACTGTCCCATGGCTTTGTTTTTGTATTTCTTCCCCAGAGCTCTTTCTCTCTTCTGCACACTACACACCCAGCCTTCTCCACCGAGGACCAGAATTCCAGACCACATGGTTGATGGATAAGCTGTTTGAAACCCCTGTTAGTCCACTTCATCCACACATTTCCTAGCATGCCCCACCCACACAAGTACCAGCATGCACATGCATAACCATAAGCCACCATATTCTATACTGGCACTTGAACACACTCATGCACATGCATGTCTCAAACAAGCTCACAGAAGTGTGCTTATACTGGCTGGAGTTGTCCTTGGTTAGTCAGCAATGGCAACCACATTGTTTTCACTAATTAGTGGCACCACCTAGTGGTGACACTGTAAGCAAATTTCTTTTGTACTTAGACCTAGCAAAACTTCTAGTACCCAGCTGGGCTCAGGTGCCTCACACCTGTAATCCTAGCTACTTAGAATGGGATCTTAGGACAGAGATTCAAAGCTAACCCAGGCAGAAAGTCCATGAGATTCTTATCTCCAATTAACCACAAAAAGCCACACGTGGAGCTATGACTTATTGGGTAGAGCCCAAAAGCTCAGGGATAACAAACATCTAGGCCCTGAGTTCAAGCCCCAGAACAT